TATTTCCCAGGTGTATGAGAGCTGACAGCTGCAGTAGCTCCATCAGAAGAGACACACTTACTGTACACAGTGACTGAGAGACGTTCCATACATTGTTTTCCTGGACGGTTTGCATAGCACAGGGGCCTTAAGTCCCAGATTGTCAGACTTTCCACCCTCCAAGTGACAAACTGGACATCAGGTGTATTAGGTACTTCATCTACTGGAGCTGCCCAGCCCATGCTACTGTGATCTGTGGACACTGTGCAGTTCACTGATACTGGGTCTCCATGTCTCACCACCACTCTGGGAGGATGGAGCTCAAGACAGCCATCAGCAGCTGTGAAAGAAAATGGCATTAAAAGCAAAGAAGTTATTTAAACAAGTACATCGATTTGCAAAAGTATTACAGTATCTGAAAAAAAAAAAAAAAAGCAAATTCTGTAAAAACATCTGGATTTTTTTATTTTTTAACAGAAATTTCCGGAGTTAAAATGGTATATTCCTAAGCTCATGATCCAAACCCAGCTTCTGAGTCCAGCACTTCGGGGGCAGTGTATGGCTCTGCAGTGAGCCTGTGATCGGACAGCTGCCAGTTCAAATCACATCTTTAGATTAGTCCACTGGGCCCATGAGCAAAGCCTGTAACCTCCCAAAATGCTGCAGGGGTGCCTGACAAGCGGCTGAAGCACGGCCCTCTAATGTATATACACTAAATGGTCAAAAGTATGTGGGCACCAGCATCTCCAACATCTGATTGCAAACCCAAGGGTATCACTGTGAAGTTGGTCGGCCCGGTGCTGCTGCTATAGCCTCTGATGTTCTGGGAAGCCTTTCCATTAGATGTTGGAACATTGATGCTGGTATTTGCCGCCATTCAGGTTAGGGATTAATGCTGGGTGATCAGGTCCCTTTCTGTGAGCTTGTGTGACTGACCACTTTGTGGGTGAACTTGCTTCCAGACCTTTCAACCTTCACAATCACCTCATTCACTGCTGACCAGGACAACACTAGCAGGCAAGATGGTACCTTATTGAGGTGTCAAGCGGAAAGTTACTAATCTCTTCTGTACAACCACCCATTCTGCTTCCAAGGTTTATAGCAGAAGACTGCATGACTGTGTGCTTAACTATAGGCCCGTGTCAGCAATGGCCCTGGCTTAATATGGTGCTTACCCTAATTAATAGGGGGCATCCACATACTTTCACCCTTACAGTGTATGTGTGTGTATGTCTCAAAGGAGTGAAGACAGGATATGCAAAAAGAAGCATTTCAATGTGCCTGAAATCATGCAAATGGCAAACAAAAGCATTTTAATTTACCTTTAATCTATTTCCATAATATTATGTCATTTTATCAGGCCACCTGTGAACTGGAAACTTAGCACAGTAATCAGATCAAGTGGAACTTATAAGTCTTTATATTGTTTTGTTTAAACAGGACTAACTGGGGACTATTGCTCCACCAGAGTTCCATGTGTGTGGAGTTTGCATGTTCTGTCCGTGTCGTTGTGGGGTCTCCTCCGGGTACTCTGGTTTCCCCCCCACAGTCCACAAACATGCTGAGGCTAATTGGAGTTACCAAATTGCCCATAGGTGTGTGTGAGTGCCTGGTGTGTGACTGTGCCCTGCGACGGGTTGGAGCCCCATCCTGGGTTGTTCCTTGCCTTGCACCCATAGCCTCTGGGATAGGCTCTGGACCCCCGCAACCAAGAATAGGACCAGCAGTTTCAGATAATGGATGGATGGACTAACTGGGGACTATTGTTGTAAATCTGTGATTGGGGTAGTTGGGTTAGGGTTAGTAATATTAATAGGGGGGGGGGGGGGGG